TTCGCTGGCACTTACGTCATGCAGTTGATGCTACGCTGGGGATGGGGTTGGGGTTGGGTGGGGCATGTTAACGTTCGCTGGCACTTACGTCATGCAGTTGATGCCACGTTGGGGATGGGGGTGGGGTTGGGTGGGGCATGTTAACTTTCGCTGGAACTTGCGTTCGTGGGGTGAAGAAAACCAAGACACTCTAGTAATCTTCTACTTCTACTTGCTAGTAAGCTTATAAGACAGTTGCTTGCTCGCTCGCCCGCTCGCCGGCTCGCTTGCTTGCTTGCATGATGCTCAAAGAAAGATTTTTCTTTTGGTTTCCGTATGTCCGTGTTGCAATGTACGATGTTCTTCTCGAATTGCTGGCTCTGGTGCTTCTTTTGCGGTTGGCTGGGAGCCTCCGCCGTGTGTGGAGTTGTTGCCCTGGTGGACTGTGGATGCACTTGAGCTAGACGCTCTTCACGATGTGCTTTGGCTTCACGATGTACTTTCAGGTCTGTTCCCGTTCCCAAGCATTTGAGCAGTGTTGCAGGAACCCAGTGCATTGACCGACACTGGCGGTCGGTCAAAGAGTTCATTGGGGCCACGTTTCCAAGAAAGATCAAAGGTCTGCTTGGATCGAAAGTGCACCCCGGAATTCCCGACCTTGTGCACCAGTGGCTGTACAGATCTTGGCATTGCTCTGAAACTCCTGCTTGTGTGTACGAAGACTTGACGAACTTTTGGCGGCAAAGGTGATAAAGTGAAGCGGAAAGCAAACGCCAAGTCGAGGTGATAAGGTGAAGGTGAAGTAGTTTTTCCAGAATTTTAGAGTCATGGATTTTCGCCCGAAAACAAGAATGTATTGTAAAAACCAATACGAACACAACCTGTCATCATGCTAAAACACAGCGGCGTTCTATCAGCCGCCTACCATGTAGTTTCTATCAATAAGAATCAAGTTCAATTTGTGTAGCCAATCTAAAAACTATCCTGTTGGCAACAAAATACACCTTACGAATGACAATGACATAATGACATACAGTGACTATACAAACTACTGTTATATAAGTTATATATATATATATCCTTTCAATTCCTACTCTCGACTCTCTCCTAGGTTGAAACAATAAACCTCTACAATGATAAGCGATAAACGTCCTTCTCGACTATTGCAATAATAAACCTCTCCTTCTCCTGTACAATAAAATATATTACAGTAATATTTAAACCTCTCTGTCTAGCTGTCCAACTTAAAGGTCCGACGTTACATGATTGCGACGAACAAATTCCTCCCCCCATTCGTCGCTAGGGGGCTTATCATTGAGGTGTGCACATTACTACCTTGGGATTAGTAGTAATTTGGTATGCATACACATCAATTCAATTAGTGAGCCACGTTTTCCAATGTTGGCACTTAAGAACGGATCCTACCACCCAAGCACTGATCCACAGCCGGCAAGATCACTATAGCTTCTGCATACCTTAGAGGCTGAAATGCACAGGATGATGACCCACTCCGTCTGCCACGCCAAGAGTTCCTGCGGTAGTTTTTCGGCGCGGGGGTCCTTGAGTGGTCCTTGGTAACAGTTCACAACTTGAGTCGTCCAGTCTGAGCATTCCAATACACATCTCGTTGAGTCTGAGCATTTGTTTCACATACTTTCTCTCTGACCTGGGGGCACCTGACGGGACGCACCTGGGACCACGTGTCCAACATGGGAGACTGAAAAGAACCTCAATTGAAGGAACTCTCCGTGTGACCACGACGATGGTGTCTGTGCAAGCCAGGCCTGCTTGAAGGGATGATGGAGTTGACTCAATGATTCGCTACATTCCTTTGCAGTTGCCAGTAAAATCCTGAGATTTGTTCCGACATTTTCAACATTTGACACATTTTGACACCCTTATGACTCCAACCCAAACTTTGCATGTTAAGATCCTCCATTCAGTCAAAGCGATTGAGCGGCTGTGGTGCGATTGGCCCCTGTCTAGTTGCTTTTAAGATGGGTTTAGGATGTCTTAAGTGTCGAATATCACAAACTGGGCCCAGGTACCTTCAATAATTTTGCCCCAAGCACTCTGCAAAAGGTCTATTGTGATGGTATATGATCGTGTACAGTGGCTGTGCGTACCTACAACTCTTTGTCCCTTCTGGTCACCCATGATGTCAGGGCATTCAGGACACCTTTGCCACCTGACCTCGCTAGTAGGTTGCTAATGTTAGTTGCTAATGTTAAGTTTCCCTAAATATCTAGGAACCAAATCATTAGCGCGAGCTCTGCTGCATCCTGTCGGTAGTAGCTACTTGTAGCTACTAGAAGCGGCCTACCCCCCCTAAAGAAAAGATCTCCTCAATTTGTTTCTATGATTGCTAAATAAGCTACTAGGAACAAGTGCATCGCTTCTAGTAACAAGTGCCTTACTACTAGTAACAATGTTTGCTATTTGAAACAATAATTAGTAATGAGAATCAATTGTCAATAGAGAAAAGATCTCCTGAATTTAGTTTCTAATAGCAAACATTGTTACTACTGGTAAGGCACTTGTTACTAGTAGCGATGCACTTGTTCCTAGTAGTAAGGCACTTGTTTCTATTGCTAAAACATGCTAAAACCATCTAAAACCAGTCGACTCCGGTGGTTCCGGTTCACCCGGTGCTGCAGGGCGTTCTCCTCGCAGATCTTCTGGAGATCCTGGGAGAGATTGGTGGGCCAAAGATTCTTCTCTGAATGAATGACAAAGAATCAAGATGATTGAAATTCCTTCCTTGGATTTTGGATGACAAATGATGACAGGGAGCTATTCCATTGTTCATGGACAAACATGGTATATGTCACCGTGGGTTTGGCATCGCCATGCATTGCCGTGTGATACACCGATCTCACTGGCAAACCACCCTGGGTGCCCAGCGTCTGACGGGCAAACCCAAAAGGAGCGCAGCTTCTTTCCGTTCCTCGGAATCGGCCCGACCAGCGATGGCCTCCACCCTAGTAGCGATGGCTGAAGCAAGCAGTAACAAGTGCATCGCTACTAGTAACAAGTGCCACGCTAGTAGGAACAGGTGCCTTACTACTAGTAACAAGAAGCAATTAATTTAATTTTACTTAAATTCTTATTGTTATTAGTAGCGATGCACTTGTTACTAATAGCTTCTTGTTACGACTAGTAAGGCACTTGTTACTAGTAGCGATGCACTTGTTCCTAGTAGCTTCCTACCCCCCCCACGCGCGTCACCACACCTTGCCAGCTCGACTTTGACCGTTGTACATCGAAATCCATGGATCATACGTACATGCAGGTATAGAGTGGCTTCCCTGACCGGTTGACAATCTCATGTGCACAAAGCAAAACAGGTCAAAAGAGGTTTCGAGTTGGAAACGCTGTCCAAACTTGTCAAACAGGTCATGCTGAGGCAAGTATACAGTACTAAGGCGCATCAAAGCGCACTGTGGGAGTTGCATAGGACATTTAAGAGTCATTGTGGAGTATCTGCAGAATTGCATGTTTTCTTGTCTTGGGAAGCTGTGACTGACTTGCAAGCAGTTTGTTGGAAATGCCTTACATTATTTGAGTTCACCCCAGCAAGTAGCCATGAATGAAGTTTGAAGAAACTAGCATCCATATGCATCCATCATACCCTGAGTTTGCCACGAGGAACCCGTTCATCAAAACATATGATGGGGAGATGTTGAGAGCAAGGACGCTACTAGGGGCTCCTGGCCGTACTACTAGTAACACGAAGCTACTAGGGGCTCCTGGCCTCGCTACTAGGAGCAAGGACGCTAATAGTAGCTCCTGGCCGCACGAGTAGGTCCAAGCAGCAGGGCGGCTGCCAAGTTGTTCCGTTCGCTCCAAGGCAAGGCTTGCCGCAGCCTAGCGCGAGGGGGGACACCCTTCTCCAGCACGCCATGTTTTGTGCCTCCATTTGTAGGAAACACAAATAGTGCCTTGCTGTATATGGACCATAGTCTGCTGGGGGCCCGCTTCTAAACCAAGGCCTAAAACACATCTCTAACATTCTCTAACCTTAAGAATTGACATTATCTTTTTAGGGGGAGTATGGTCTTTTGAGCGCGGTCCACATGGAAACACATTCATGAGTACCTTGTTTCCCACGAAGGTTGGATTCAAGGAAAGGTTCCCACCTCCACGTGTGCACAGAATCCCAGCCAAACGCTCGCAGCCTTTTGCCTCGATTCGCGCCAGAATTGTCCGCGACAATTCGCGCTTTTGACCTGCTGAAAACGATGAGCCCCCTTTTCGGAAGGCGACATCATCCCAGCGACCAAAGCGAGGACATCGTGACTTGAGTGAGTCGCAAATAAAGGTCTCACCTTCTTTGTGACACACACAAGCACACACGCACTTGAGGCCATGCACCTCCTACAAAGGGGGGGGTGCAGGCCCTTGTCAAATGGAGGGGCAAGAATCAAACAAAGAAAGCTAGCGAACATCGGTATTTTGACCGAGTCGGCTGAGCTCCAGTCCCGGATGGCTATGATGAGACGTGTATAGCCAACACAACAACCCAAGTAACAAAGAGCGACTTGTTTCATCTTGCTTAACAATTCTCAACAAATGACTTCTATATCGATCAAACTGAGCAAGTCCCCTGAAGTCCACCGAATTCGTGGACTTCGCAGGACAGCCGCAGCTTGTGTGGAGATGTGCGGAGGCTGGCTTCTTCAAGACAACCGGGTACAACGTCTGAGTGACCGCCGACATATTCACGGCGGTGCTTGACATGCTGGTGCTGGAGGTAGAAGTATTGGCTCATGATCTGATGAGATTAGCTTGCTTCTCAGTATGACCATTAGGGAATTAAATCATATCAAATCCATCAACAGCATGTGATGGAAGCTGCAGGGTTTGGAAAGTAAGTCCCCTTTGAGGGTGGACCCGAGGACTTTAATTACAGCCAAAAGCTCTCACTTGCCATTACGGATCCTGTTGGACTGAAGGCATCGCTCCCACATGTGCTCGACTGAAAGGATGTGGACTCATTGCTCTTGACGTCCCAGTCTTTGTCCTTGTCCGGTAGGTCAAGGAAGGCCTCTGGAGGCGCCAAGCCAGGAGGGGGTCGGAAGGAGCTCCGAGCCCTGGACTGCGAAATCCATCCTTCCAATTCAGACATCAATGACCGGAGCTCGGAGCTGGGATCTGGCGCTGAGATCTTCACCTGCGAGTTGACCGAAGCGGACCGCCCGGTACGGTGGTTTTGGAGGCGAACGCGCACGTGAGGTTTATTCGTTTCACTGCCTTTTGGTTGAAGGTTTGGGAGCCCAAATGAACTGCTATCGATAAGAAGAAATGCTGCTTTGCAGTTCGGCACATGGGAGCCACAGTTCACCCTTAAGAACATGCTCTGTTTGTACTATCAAGGGACAAATAGTGAAGTCCAAGACTCTTTCCGCTTACTGGTATAGCGGTATAGCTATGTATATAAGCTATATTGCCATTGCAATGATGGTCATTCTGAGGGCCAAAGTCGCCCCAATACCAAAACATCGGTCGACAAAAACATCGGTCCACTCCTTCATGGGTTCTTCGAGCTCTTTCGCGTCCTCCTTGGAGTGTCGAAGCTCCGTCTTCCCATGTGCAAAGGTGCATGCTGCGCCTTTGGTGCAGGTGCCCTTCGACATGAACTGAAAGCATAGCTGAGTTCCAACCTCAAGTTCGACGTGTGCACGTCTTGCACATCACAATATGTCGCGACATTGAAGACCGACGAAGACCAAAACGATTGCTTTGAGAGGGGAAGCTACTATAGTAACAAAGGGCATTGCTACTAGGAGCAAGAAGCTACTATAGTAGCTCCTGGCCTTATTACTACTATATAGTAACAAGACGCTACTAGTAACAAGAAGCTACTAGGGGCTCCTGGCATCGCTACTAGGAGCAAGGACGCTACTAGGGGCTCCTGGCCGTACTACTAG